TACCATTGTAACGGTTGACGTGGTCGCAACACTGGATGATTCCCCCCCCCTCCGATCACACCTGATCACAAATGAAGGACAGATGGAGAATCATTGACATGAGGTCGACCACTGGCCAGCTGGTCACTCGCAAATGCGTTTGTAATTGCTCTAAGTTGCAAAGTGAGAGACTTGTTTGCAAACAAATCTATTGGTCACGTAACAGCCATTCATGCAATATCTGGGGCTGGAGATCGACAAAGTCTTGACTTTAAGATCCAATGACCCGACGGGCAATCTAAGGGAATAAACCCGAAGAGCCGCCCACATTATGGCTTGGTATTACAATGAATGGGCATTACGATGCAGTTTCGTTAGTCATTTAAACGATTTGCATTGCCAAAGCCATCATCTATGGTTAATAACCTTTTTTAACGCCTGAGAGAAAGCGACATCAAGGCATTCCGATGATCCATTCTATTGTCGTAAATTTTATTAAGCACTTCTGTAGTTGATTTCCAGTACGAAATAATTACTGTCGTTAAGTGCAATCGTATCCAGATGGAAGCAGTGTATTCGTAGAGAAACGACTTCGTCATTCCGGGCAGAAGAAGACACTCACTAAACAAACCATCACAAAGTGAAGCTGCATTATCTGTGAGCCACTGACAAAATTTATATTAACGTAATCACGCGATGTACGTACTAATTGCAGGCCCACTGCATACTTTGACCAACCGTTACCTTTCTCGCACCTGGTCCCCGCGTATAACGTCGATGAACAGTCGCAGTAGTACCGGTTCCACTGTTCGATGCATGAGCCACCATTCTGGCATGCGTACTCACTGCATTGAGGTAACGTGTCGTAGCAACCGACTTCGATACCATCTGTTCTGTTTTCTTTCAGCAGGCTAATCAAGTCGATATATATTCCGTTTTGAGTAAGGTCGCGAAGGCAGCCCATGAATCCTTTCCTCAGCGAACCAGTCCAAACTGACGGTGGCGGCTGGCTCTTAGAGTCCAACTTATTCCACGGGTATCCGGCGATATAAACTGCGTCGTCTAAGAGAAACACATTTAATAGGAAGCTTAGATTAAATTCATTCAAGACGCACGGTTCCATCTATTAGCATAGCAAACATTAATTTGCGCAAGCTCTACGTGGATTTCGCTATCAAATACAACTGTGAAACAAAATCGTAATCATGAAGCATATGGCTGATTTTGTTTCCGTTTAAACACTTGTTAGTCGATTTATGCAGATGATCAATCTAATCCTGATTTCAGCGGGATCAGCGAATGCCAAAAAGTTGTATAAAGAACTGCCCTGCATACCGCCTTTCTTTTGAAATGATAACCACTTTTGTAGGATCTCCACCGAAAACAACATTGAATGAAAATCGCACTGTAAAATCTTCATGGCGAATTCCAGAAGTAAATAACAAGCCATTGATAAGTAACCAGTATAACTGGCATATGGCTACTTCAGCATACGTGTCCGATAATTCGTCTCTTCTAAAATTAAATCCTAAAGCTAGGTACATAATGCATTTTCAGCATTTTTCCACTGTCAATCGTGTACAGAGTCATGTGGCCCTACAGTTAACTAAGGTTGGAAATCAGTTGCAAACCTTGGTATTTACTAATTAAAGTGCGCCGAAGTACGATGTGTGAAAACATACACGATTTGGGTCAAGTGTTCGATGAATTGCCTCCCTCAGGTTTTCGATTTTGGTCGAGGAAAAGAGTTTCCCAAGAGTTCTAGAGCATATTACCATGGTAGTTCTACTGATGGGTGACCTAGCCGATACAAAATATAGGCCCAATAATTATACACCTGTTTCACACCTCAGGAAAATAGTTTTAGTGTTTGGTTTGATGAACGAGGGAACAAATCATTAAATCACCCTGGTTCTAATCTAGTTGTTTAATTACGATTAAAAGGCGAATTTTCCGTGCTCCAACGCGGCAGGGATGCAGTATAATTTTAGAAAATCAACATGGAAACTAGCTGACACTAACTGAATGTAGTTGTGATAAATAGTTAACTACTCTTTGTGAATGCGGAAATTAGATAACTGTAGAAAAAAACGAAGAATATGATGAAAGTGCGTGAAACAATGACTTAAAAAGTTTTCAGTTATTTCTTTCAATCGCATTGAGTGCTGATGAAGAAGCAAGAATAATGACGGCAATGCTGCCTGACATCGCACGAGAGTAGAAGGCTGTTTGCTTCCAAGCAATTTTTTGAATGCTGCCTTCTTATCTTAACTGCCAGATGTAC